TCTAGTCCCTTAAATCTATTCTTCACCTCCACTGCATATTCACTAGGAATGTTAATGAGATCATATCTAACTGGTCGGTGTATTTTCCCCAATCTCTTTAGTCTGATTCTAAATTGTGCAATAAGAAGTTTGTAATCTGAACTACAGTCAGCCCCAGGTCTTGTTTTCACCGACTGGATGGATGTCCGCCAACTTTGACTGCAAAGGATGTAGTCAATCTGATTTCGGTGTTGACCATCTGGTGAAGTCCATGTATAAAGCCGTCTTTTAGGTTGTTGGAAGAGAGTGTTTGTTATACACAGTGAGTTTTCTTTGCAAAATTCTATCAGCCTGCGTCCTGCTTCACTTTGTTGTCCCAGAACATGCTTGCCTGTGATCCCAGACTGGAACACTATCTTAGCATTCCAGTCTCCTGTAATGAAAATAATGTCTCTTTTTGGTGTATCATCCAGTGTTAATCTGTAGAACGTGAGATTCGTCGTTCACCTTCAGCACCGTCGGCCGCTAGCCTTCCTTTCGGCTTTGAGTTAGCTGCGCCATCACATCTGGGGCTAGTTGAATTTATCCTCTGCTCCTCCCCGGTAGCATTTTGACCATCTTCCGACCTGGGAGTCCTATCTTTCGATGGCATACTGACATATCTCTGATTGAACTGATCCATTTAGTTTTCATGGCAAGAATACCGGGGTGGGTTGCCATTTCCTTTCCCAGGGATCGTGTTTGGTGTGACTTCTCTGCCATGACCTTCCTGTCTTGGTTGTCCCTTCACAGTTTCACTCATGGCATCATTGGGGTGCTCAAGTTCCAGCACCACGACAAGGTAACAATCCTTTGCTGGATCTGTGAAGGGACTTATTTGCACATGTGGCTGGCCCAGTTTTGGCTGAGAATTATTAGTCTCATTAATGAAATTACAAAACAAAAAATATGTCAATTGTCTGCCCTCCTTTTACTTACTACAGTAGAGTCTCGCTTATCCAACCTTCACTTATCCAACATTCTGTATTATCCAACACAGTCTGCCTCCCACCCAGATCCATAGCTGTTTCAATACATTGCAATGTTTTGGTGCTAAATTTGTAAATACAGTAAACACTACATAACGTTACCATGTATTGAACTGCTTCTTCTGTTTATTTGTTGTAAAACATGATGTTTCGGTGCTCAATTTGTAAAATCATAACGTAATTTGACGTTTAATGGGCTTTTCCTTTATCCCTCCTTATTATCCAACATTTTCGCTTATCCAATGTTCTGCCCGTTTATTTTGGATAAGTGGGACTCTACTGTACTTTGGTATCTGAGGATAAAAAAAGAAATATGAAGTGCTGATGGCTTCCTTCTGACTGTTGTGAGATTGGAAATTGCTAAGGATTGAAAAATGGGAATTTATCAATGGAAACCTGGTATAGGGTGCTTGGTTTATGGAGAAACTTGAGGACAACGTGGTGGAAAAATAGTGACTTTCCCTTATTGAATATGTCAATGCTCACTTGCGAAAGCTCTTATCTCCTGCACGAGAACAGGATTTATAGAAAGGTGTTCAGGATAAGGTCTAGATATCATAGTTGATGGTAAGACTCATTGTAAACTGTAATTAATATTCTGATTTACAATTTGTTGTGTTAGTTAGGAGATTTTTTTTAATTGATATTTATTGGATTAACATAATTTTTTAAAAAATCAGAGACAACAGGGATAAGTATGAGTATGCATGTATTTGTGAATGCAGGCATTCATTTTCTGCCGGAGTTATACTTTCATTTATTTATTCTAAAATAAAGGGTTTTTTAACTAGAGTAAAGCAAACTGGGATGAGAGCCACATCCTTTTGCTGTCTGGTCACCTTCCAGTGAGTCACGTCCAACTTCTCCGACACTAGACTGAGTGCTTGAGTTTTTGATAACTTTAAAGCAGGGGTGCTGGAGTTTAGGGTTTTTTTTTGGTGGGGGGAGGGTCTATTGAACAGACCTTCATTTAGAATCAAGGTGATCAGAACCCAGGATTTCATTGTGAGTTCTTGAACTGAACACAGCTCACTGTTATTGTCCACTCAGATTTTGATTTCAGCAATTCAATGGGGTGGTGATATTGGAACGTCATTGGGTTCCAGCTGTTTTAAACATTTGGGGCTATTCAGAAACCTTATGTGATTTACTTTAGATGACCAACCAAATCTGATAATGAAGGCCACTATACCTCCTCACCACCCACAGTTTAAATGTAAAGCACAGCAGTAAGAATTGTGCACCCTTCAGTCACTAATTGATGTGTGCTGCATGTTCCTTTAAGTTGCCTGTCAACTTATGGCGACCCCATGGTTTCCATAGTGTTTACTTAGGCAAGGAACGTTCAGAAGTGGTTTGTCATTTCCTTCCTCTGAACTGTGCTCCACTGGGTAAATAAGTGGCTCTTTGCAAAACTTGCCTATCAGATTTAATAGATGCACTGTGGCTTCACTGTGCCCAGTCTAGCAGGTGAAGGAACAGGCTCAGTGTGTACAAAGCTGTTCTGAAAGAGGAAGAAAGAGCAGCAAGGACCATGGGATGGGGTGACAATTTAACACTGTTGGAGAATCTTTATATGAGATTTTGTACATTAAGAAAATCAGCTTCTCCAAGAATCTATTGAAGACTTGTTTGTAGATCATTTGTTGAAGTTTGTTACCCATGTACAGCCACAATCTACTTTGTAAACCCTTGCGCTTTTTTCTGAAGTTTTCTGCTTCCTGTTAGGAACATAACACATGCATTGTAGCGTTACCTTACACATCTGCATGTTCTTTTTGGGGAACTGAATTTGGGGGGTGGGCAAATCTGCTGTTCTCCATTTATTGGACATACTCTGAAGCTCCAATTACATGCATGTCCCTTTCTTTATGGAGAGCAGACAGGATTGCAGAAGTGCCTTCCCATAGCCAGATGTAAATGAGATCTGCCAGGGTCCTATGGAGACCTTAATCATTTTACATCTGATTACATAAACATATCCAGCCATTTCTGTGATTCTGCCTACTGTATATAGTTGGGGCAGTCACTTTTCTACACTTCGTTGAATCATACAGAATTGCAGCTGTTATTTTATTTATAAGTCACTCTGAAAATATTTTTGGGAGTTAATCATACTACCTTGATGCAAAGAAAAAAAGAGTCTTTTGGAATCTTAAAAGTCTAACAAGATATATGTAGTATAAACTTAGGTTGCCTGTTATGAAATAGACTTAAAATCTAAGTAAGATGTAACTTAGCGTAACTGGATTTCAGTAAGGCCTTTGACAAGATCCCCCATGACCTTCTGGCAAGCAAACTAGTTAAATGTGGGCTAGGTTAGGTGGATCTGTAACTGGTTAAGCAAACAAACCCAGAGGGTGCTCCCCAATGCTTCCTCTTCATCCTGGAAAGAAGTGATGACTGGGGTGCCGTAAGCAGGGTTCCATCCTGGACTCAATTCTCTTCAACATCTTTGTTAATGACTTAGATCAGTGATTTTAAACCGATGGGTCTAGTGTCTAGTAGGAGTCTAGTGTCTAGATCCAGGGAAGTCATGCTACCCCTCTATTCTGCCTATCGAGGAATCACACTGTGTCCAGTTCTGGACCCTGCAATTGAAGGGAGGGGCTGACAAGCTGGAATGTGTCCAGAGGAGGACAACTCAAAAGAATCAAGGATCTGGAGAACAAGCCCTATGGGAAGCGGATTAAAGAGCTGGGCATGTCTAGCCTACAGAAGAAAAGTCTGAGAGGAGGCATGATGAGGGCCATGGATAAAGATGTGAAGGGAAGTCATAGGGAGGAGGGAGCAAGCTTGTTTTCCACTGCCCTGGGGACTGGCATGCAAAGCAATGGCTTCAAACTACAGGAAAGGACATTCCACCTGAATATGAGGAAGAACTTCCTGACTGAGAGGGAGATGTTCAGGAGTGGAACTTTCTGCCCTGGAGTGTGGTGGAGGCTGCTTCTTTGGAGGCTTTTAAATAGAGGCTGGATGGCCATCTGTCAAGGGTGCTTTGAATGTGATTTTCCTTCTTGGCTTAATGAGGTTGGACTGGATGGCCCACAAGGTGTCTTCCAATTCTGGGATTCTAAATACCTTATGTATAGCGGCACTTGACTATCAAACAGCATCAATAATACTGTGGGGAAGGGGTGTGTGCATGTGTTGGTGTTTGTTCAAGAGGCTAGAAAATTTGTTTTTAATCATAATTACTCAGTTAAAAATTGATGACACACCTCTCTTCCCGGTTTATTACTGTTAACACTTAAAAAAATAAAGGTAAAGCCTAAATCCAGTTGTTAGTTACAGCAAGAGTAAACCCATTGAATGAATGTGAATTTGATAAATCAGACCTTTTGCAAGTTCAGCTGATCTTCTCTAGCTGGAACTAACAGTTTTGAATTGTGCCTAATCATTTTCTTTTTATTCAGAAATAAACTAAAATAGTTGTTTTTAACTTTGGGGGGGAAGCAATGACGACGGCCTCAGAACGCTGCTGGAATGTGAAATAACATACCTGAGTAATGATCCCACCCCCCTTTAACTCTAAAACTAACAAAACAGTTATGGTGAAAGAGTGGTGTTACCCCATTATATTACAGTCAGGATATAACTTACTTGTATCCAAGTTATGGGAGGATGATGCTTATTAGAAGTAACCCATTATTTGGAGTTTGCTACTTCTGGGTTTCTATTTTCAAGTCTTAGTGAGTTTTCCAGGGGCCTGTTTCTCACTAAATAATTATCACACAGGGATTCCACTTTACCTGCCATGTCTGAATCCTATGGAATCCTGGGGTTGTTATTTTGGAGAGTCCTGAGAGGAGCTCTGAGGGAGAAGGCTAAATGTCTGACCCTACACTGCACATCCCTGGATTCCACCATTAGATGGCACTTAAAGTGGAATCATAGCATTATAAATGTGCAGTCTGAATAGACCCCAGCTGTTTTTAATGCCATCCTTGTGCTCAAGTTCACTGATTCTATTCCCGCGCCCCAATATCTCAGCAGCAGCAACAGATGCCCCGTAGCAGCCAAGACGAAAAGGATGAAAAAGAAAAAGAGAAAGATATGGAGAAGGAAGAAGAAAAGACAGAAGCTGAGAATGATAAAGAGGAACTGACAAAGTAAGTCTAACCACTTCTTCTGTCGAGGAAACAAGTAGCTAGCAGCAGAGCACCTGCTTATTGCTTCCGCTTCATAGCCCTTGAGGTACAGTCTTCCATTATGCAAAAGCTGGTAGCCAAAGCCAGGCTCAAATCGCAATCAGCTCTTTGTACACAGTAGAGTAAAACTAGCTTTGTAAGCACTATTTTAGGAGATAGATGGGGTACAAATTTCAACTGTGGAAAGCATCAGCCACCTAGAAGACCTTGGGGACTGCACCCCTTCACTATGCCTGCTTCTGTAAAAACAAGAAAAAAAATTTCCCTCCTCAAATGTACTCTAGGAAATATAGGGTGAATGTTCACCATGTTTTGTACCCTTCCTCCACTATTTTAGACCTAGGACTAGTCCTTTTTTTAAAACGGAAGTGAATGAGAATAATTCCATATTGAAGTCCTCTGATCTCAGGTTTGTGTGGGGGCACAAATATGGTGGAAATGCACAGCATGTCTCCTAGATGACATTTGGAGCAATTTCTTTTTGCGGGGGGAGGGGGGGCAGGGGGCGAGTAGAGTTTCTAATTTGTTGAATAAAAACCTCAACAGCCTCTATAGCAGTGATTCTTAAATTGTATTCTGTGGAAGTCTAGGATTCCATAAAAGCACTGTAGAGGTTCCATGAAAAATCTTAAAAATCAAATTTAAGACAGATTTTCAAATAAAACCACACAAGATCAACTATTGGATTGTCTCTCATGTAAAGGAAGAGGGAGCATATCTTTTCTGCCCCAGAGAGGTATGTTCAGCTGTTGGACATCAAGCTTAATGTCAGAACTATTTTAAGCACAAAAATGAAATAATTTCATCACATTAGATGTGAATGCAATATTTTCTTGTACCAAAGAAAAAGGTTTGTGGTTATATTGAACATGCTTTCTCTTCATTTCCAAATCTACTATGTTACACAAAACACTCAGGCTCCAGAACTGCACTTTCTCTCTCTCTGGGCAGTTCAAGACAAGCCTTTATCCCAGGAGAATCCGTGTTTTAAAAACACAGATCTTCTTGGTGGCTTGTTCACACACCACCCCAGAAAGCGCACTCTGGGGTGGGTTTCCAGATGCTCTTGTGGAACTGGCCACAAGAGCATCTGGAGGCCCTACTCCCCTGAAGCCCCCAGATCCCTTTGAAAAGTAAAATAAACTTACCCGGCCTCCATAATAGTCTTGGAGCAGCTATCCCGTTTGCGGAGAAATGTCGCACCAGGAGAGTGGCAGGGAAGGGGGTTGGTTATTCCCACATGGGAATGGTGTCTGGACTGCAGTCCAGACACCGGAAGTAGTAGATTTATCCCACACCTTACAAGAAGGCACAGAATAAATCCACTATCTAATTAATTCGCCACAAACCAGTGCTTTCTTGGTTTGTAGCTAATTAATTCAGGACTGTCCAGAACGTTGTCTGGACAGTCCCTTCTTTATTGCGGGACTAACCACAATAAAGGTACTGTCTGGACGGGCTCGCTCTCTCTCACTCACTTTCATTTTCCAGATTTTCAGAATGCATGGTACGTGTTCTCTTGCTCCATAGCACTGCTCTGAGTGCTATGGAAGTGCTAGGTCTTGATTTCTGACTGCAGTGCAACAAGACACTAGTTCAAGGCCCATTCCATTTGCTCCCACCCACTTGTGCAGTACAGCTTTGCAACAGTGAATAGGAGCAGCTGTGGTCTTCAGTTAACAGTGGAGCAAAATAAGAACCACTTGACTTTTCTGGAAGACTTGGCAGACTGCTCACTTTCTCTAATGGGCCTTAATCCTTGCCTCGAAGGAGCATCTGGCTTGGTTGCATTAGGCTCCATGGTGTGATTTTCAGCAGGTCCCTTTTGGGAAGACAGATTCAGGAGAAGCCAAGAGGATTTGGCTGCCCTAGTGTTCAACCTGTCTCCATTAGGTCCCTTAGCAGACACAGATGAGAAACCGCAGCCTGCTGCAGGAGAGAGAGAACATGGTGGGAAAGTGTCTCTCCTTCAAGGGCCGGAGGCAGAGTTGGGAGACATTGCTTGAAGGTTGATTCCTTTAATGTCAATTCCTTCCATTCTGGCTTATGTAGGGAGAAGAATGAGGACACATCTGGTGAAGACAATGATGAAAAAGAAGCCGTTGCTTCAAAAGGGCGCAAAACTGCCAACAGCCAGGGCCGACGTAAGGGTCGCATCACCCGCTCAATGGCCAGTGAAGCCAACAATGAGGAAGTGGCTGCTCCCCAACAGAACTCAGAATTCGGTATGTACTTACTATCTCTGCAGAATGGGATGGAGGTGGTGTGCGTGTGAGCAACGCAGTGCCTGAAGGAGTACATTGGCAGGAGGGCAAGAAGTGAAACAAAGAAACTTGATTCACTTATTGGTTGGCTGATCACTTGTAGAAAGCTGCTCTCCTTTTCTTCCACTATTACATCCACATCCATTCCCCCTTCTGCCATCTTTTCTTGGCATTCCTGGTATGCCTGAAAAATGTTGATTTCTAGCATTTTTCCTGGAGTTGCAAGGTTTATACCAGGGTCTCCTGGTGTTAGATGCCCTTGCCTATTCCCAGCTCCAACTTGACCTATTTTTTAAAATTTTATTGTATACTAGTTGTCCCCTGCCACACATTGCTGTGGTCAGTCTGTGTATATGTGTTTTGTGTGTATATATATTTGTATATGTGTGTGTTTGCGCATGTGTGTGTGTGTATGTATGTATATATGTGTGTTGTGTATATGGTGTTACACATGTGTTGTAATGTATTTTTTGTTTTGTTGGCTTTTTAAGTCCTTTCAGCTCTGTGTGTGTGTTTGTTTGTTTGTTTTTTGCTTGTTTTTATGAGTGATGGTCACTTGTTGGCCTGATAGATGTCTTGTGTCCAAATTTGGTGACAATTTGTCCAGTGGTTTTTGAGTTATGTTAATCCCACAAATGAACATTCCATTTTTATTTATATAGATACTAGCCATCCCCTGCCACATGTTGCTGTGGCCCAGTCTGTGTATATGTGTTTTATGTGTGTATTATGTGTGTGTATATATGTGTGTTTGCATGTGTGTATATATATTTGTGTGTGTGTGTGTGTGTTTGTGCTGGGCTTTGCGAATGCATTGTTATGTATTTTTATTTTTTGGCTTTCTAAGTCCCTTCCGCTGTGTTTTCCAGTATTTTTATGAATGGTGGTCACTCGTTGGCCTGATAGGTGTCTTGTGTCCAAATTTGGTGTCAATTTGCCCAGGGGTTTTTGAGTTATGTTAATCCCACAAATGAACATTCCATTTTTAATTATATAGATAAGAAAACCATTACAATTTTTTTTAAATGAGCCCTAGATACACCTTGATCTATTCCAGCAAAGCAGATTTTCCTTCTTACTGCCAGGTAGACCTCTGTTTTTCCCCCCTTCTTTCATTCATTGGAATGCTTCCAGAGCTGGGATAAGGATCAATGTCTGCAGTCGCATCTTTGTTTTGTCTTCAGTCATTTTGCTTGTAAGGTAGACAAAGCAGAATGTTTTACTTATCAGATTTCAAATTAGGGATGCTATTTGGGACGAGGAGTGTCCTAACTCTGCACAAGTATTTCATCTGCCTTTAAAACTTGGAAGACAAGGAGAAAGTGGATATTAAGTTAGAGCCTATGATACCTTTATATGTAGTATTTAAATAGAAGATATATTATCTGAGAAATGATTATGGGACACTAATAGCTGGAAAGTATTGCACTGTATGCAACAAACACTTACAAATGTATGTCTATTTGAATGAATGAATAAATAAATAAATAACTTGGAAGAGTTACCCCTCTCAACCACTTGAGGGCCTTGCAATACTGAGGTATCCCATCCAGAGAAATGTCTATGTAACTAAAGCTATAGCTTTCATTAATTACATTGGTAGATTAAGCAAACAAAGTTTGACAACTAGTTGTTACCCAAAACATTGATGCAGCTCTTTAAGCATTTGCTGCCTGCTTTTATTATGCAATATACGTACTTCACTTCGTGCTTAGTATTCGCATATCCTAGCTTTGATACAACCTTCCCCCCATTTTAAAAATTCCTTGATGATGTCATGGCCTAACTTGCTTTTCTTACATGTCATATCTTGACAATGTCCTCAGTGTGCTGCTCCTAGCTGTCTAAGAGAGAATGAAAAGCCTGGTTGCTGCAGCCATAACAGAGTGGCCTTGGCTTCTATTTTGAATGCAAATGTTTCACATAACTAGTCAGCAGGCCCAGGAGTCCTTCTTCTCCCTCCCATCTACTTGCTTACTTAACACATTGCTTACTTAACACATAACCCCCTGCTGTGTTTCTCTTCTTTTTGTATTTGTTTAAGCTTTTCTGGGATATGTTCAGCTTTTCTGTGTTTAGGACCCTTTTAAAGAAGCTTCTGTGGAGATGTTCTCTCTATAAAGAAGCCCATCCAGGCTTCTTTAATTTTGATCAGAATGACCTTTTCTCCCTGTTTGTTTAGAGAATATCAGTTTTAAGATGGAAACCTGCTTCTTTATGTCTATGTGTGTTTGAGTGGCTTGTGTTGGTTTGATTTGCTGTTGTAGACCTTTCCTCCTCCCAAGTTTTAGCCTGATGTGTTACACATCTGGACAATGGCATATTTTGAAACAAATCAAGATTTCTTTTTTCTATACTGCAAAATTTCACTCACATATGCAAACCCGACTTGTCCTGTGTGCTGCATTTCAGGGTGGAAAGCAGGTATAGAAAAAAGAAATCTTGAAATAAAAAATGGAAACATTAAAACACTTTCATGTGGCATGCAAGCACACTGGAGAAGAAGGAAGATGTTTCCTGACTGGTCTCTGTCTGGTTCATTGCTCAGACCCTTCCATGCACACAATTTGACCATGGCTCATAGAGACCAAAACCAAAAATCCTGTGTGGTCCTTGCTGGAATAGCAAATTCTGGAAAAGACAGCGTGAGCACAGTCACCATCTTTATCAGAATCTTTTATTCGGTCTGTGATTTGTGTGTGTGTGTGTGTGTGGGTACGTGTGCATGCCAACATCAGGTAGGTGACACCCCAATGGAATCTTGGAGATTGTTAGAGGTTCCTGAGCTTAGACATAAGAAGCTATCATAAAAAGCCAGGCTATTTATCCATTCAGGTTTGTGCTTGCTATCTTGGTTGTCAGCAAGTTTGTAGGGTTTCAGACAGTGATTTTGCCCTTTAATTGCTACCTGACCATTTTAACTAGAAATTCCAGCAACTAAATTAGGGACTTTCTACATTCAAATTGTGTGATATGACACCCAATTGCAGTCCTCCTAATTAGGAACAAATAAGCCCATTGCTGTAAAAAGTTGGCTTTCCAGAGTCTAGATTTTGCTGGGCCACTCCAAATATCCATTAAGACTGGATTGTCTGCCTTGACAGGTCTGGAGGGGTCGATCCTTCTGTTCACTGCCCTCCCAGCTTCAACTTGTCCAACTCCAGTGTCCAGCTCTAGTTCCTAGACCACAATGTGCTCCCTCCTAGTCTAGACAGAGCACCTGTGGCTTCAAAGCAGTCTGACATATATGTCATCTCTTTTTTCACAACCACAAAATAAATTCTAGTGGCATCGATAGTTGTTCACTCAAATAGAGGTGCATTGCACATACATGCTTATGCTCAGAGGCGTTAGAACAGATTGAAAACAATTGTAAATATATAAATATTATTAATAAAATATAATATGGATAGTTTTTTTTAAAGAATTGTGGATCCCTCTGGAATAAAAACCACCTTAACTAGAAGTTGGAGTGCTAGGAGAAAGGGATAAATGAGATATCCTAAGGTATGGAGTTACATAATTGAATGTAGTCACAGGAAATGTCCTTTTCCCATTCAAACCATTTGCTGCTTTGCCAGTATTGGTAGGTAGATATGATCTTAACTGGACAGTCATCTGCAAGGAGATGATCCTAATGCTATAATCCTTACGTCTCATAGAATCATAGAATCATAGAGTTGGAAGAGACCTCATGGGCCATCCAGTCCAACCCCCTGCCAAGAAGCAGGAATATAGCATTTAAATACAGAAAAAAATGCTGAATATATGCAGAGCCATCCCTCCCTTCCCTGCCAACTTGGCTACAGGCAGCAGTTCTCACTCAACATCCTGAATGTCATTGTTTTCAGATCTAGTTTTGTGAAAAAGTTTAGATGGGAAGAGTGATTTGTCATACTTCCACGTTCCATTCTTCTATTATATCTGTGAATATTTCAGAGAATATAGGCTGTTTCTGTTTTCCAGAGTTTTAGTGGAATAGATCCTGTTTGATCTTGAAAACTAGTTAGTACTTGGATGGGAGATTGCCAATGCAATCCCAGTTGTTATAGGGCATATTTCGGAGGAAAGAACTAGTAAAATCCACATCTGAAGTATTCCTTGCCTTGGAAAACCCTACAAAATTCATGGAGTTGCCATAAGACAACAGGTGACTTGAAGCACATACACACAAAGAATGAAACACACACATCCAGAATCTTCAGGGACGTGATCAAATTAATTAATGAACTTTCTTTAATATATAATTGTAAAACATGCATATAAAGACCCAGGAAAACAGATGTTGGCATGTAATTATATTCCGCCATCTCATTTAGTATGATTGTCTCCACTTAATCCCTGTAACCTTTATTCTTTTTGTTTGGTTTTCAGCCACTTTGGAGATGAATGAAAGTTCTCGTTGGACGGAGGAGGAAATGGAAACTGCCAAAAAAGGTAAGAACATTGGTTTGCTTTTTTGTTTTAAATGTCTAGAGTCCAGCTTGTTTGGGATTACTTGTATTCAGTGCTCATATAAACTATGTGATCTTTTGTGGGACGGCATATCCTTTTCCTCAAACAATTCTAAAAGGACCTTTTGTAGTATTCCTGTGACTGCATAGATGGTTGCCTGCAGTTGTGCAAATATATGAAACTGCCCTCACTTTGCATCCAGTTGACTAGTAGGGTGACTTATGTGCATTAGAGCCTGGGCCTGATTTGAGGGGGTCCTCATCATCCTTCTACTAAGAAGCCACAGGCAGTAGTGCTGCTGTCACACTTCTCTGAACATTTTTTATGGGAATACCATCTTTATTGTCCCCTAATGTAGTACTTCACAGATGTAGGATATTGGAAATTAGTGTTTTCAATAAGCCAGGGACCAGCCCTGAATTTGTGCCAGTTATGTGCAGTAACAGTTGTTTATTTCTCTCCTGGAAACTTGTCAGGAACTGGCAGGTAATGACCTAAGGGACAGCACTGGTCATAGATCACCTTGATTTAAATTTCCTTTGATTTCTAGAATCTTGTAGAAGAGGTCTCGTGTTCTTCAATTTTTTCCACCTATTCCTCTGCATTGGTTATTATAGATCTTCTTTTTCCTGCACGTGGTGTTGGACTGGATGGCCCTCATGGTCTCTTCCAACTCCATGTTTCTATGAATTCTCTGTCTGTCGAACGTATAGGTGAAAACTAGCTGCATATCTCCTTTCCTCCACTTTCCTTATATGTTTTACTTTCAGAGCCAAAGCTTCTTACTGCTGATCTTGTGAACTATATTGCTTCTTCAGGAGTTTTGAAACTACAGTTGTCAGAACCTGACCTTTTGTTGGTTTGTAATCCTTGGGAACTCTCTGCCTTTTAAAATTGTTTTCTATGGGATTTGACCCTGGCCTGCTTAACCCTTAGCTCTGTGGACTCAAATGGATCCCTGTTCACCGACTGTTTGTTTGGCTTAGCCCTGGCACAGTCTATAAACAAGAAGTAGGGCATTGTATAGTTCAGGCTGTGGCATAATGCCAGTCCGGTGCTCTCAACTGTTCACTTCCATTATGCGTTGTTTGCTCTCTGGTGGGGCTGCAGTGTGCCCTGGAGTGGCTTTATTTTGGTCTTGTGTGTCTAAGATGCTTCTTCCTGGCACTTGTGTCAGCATGGAGTCCCAGGCTGGCAACATTAGAAATGAGAATTGACTGCATGGCTGGTCTCCATCCTGAAGAACAACTTGGCTTTCGCCTTCTCACTCTCCCTGATTGGAATTGTACCCTGCCTCCCAGCATTTTTCACACACTCTTGATTAGAAAACATTTCTGCAGCATCCTGAGTAATGCGTTGGAGGTGTGGGGGAAGGCACTGAGCAGAGCTCTTAGCACTTCTCCTACCGTGTTGCTCTCCCTCCTGCACACTTGGCCGTCTGTCATGACAAGCTTGGCAGAGTTGCGTTGTTCATGGTTATTGTTATTTTAAATTCCATAGGAGAAAAGCATGAGGCTGTGTTTTGTAAGGGTTGAAATATGAAATGAAAAGTTCTGGCAAAGAGAGGTAGTTAGTAATTACTGCAGTTTTATTTTTCCAATCCTACGTTTTTAAATTTTGTCTCATTGCCGTTATTGTTTCGAGTCACTCAAAGGATTACAGCTGGGCATAGCACATCATGGTAGTTGGTCCTAGAGCTAGTTCTCCTTGAGTGATATGGTAAATCCGTATTGGGTTCGTACCATTTACTTTGTCTACAGAGCAGACCTTTCCAAACATTTTATGATGGTGACATGCTTTTTCAACATTTTGCAACACAGTCATTCAGTTTTACTAGCAAAACGGAGGTGAAATCAACTTCAGACATGTACATAAACTGTAATCATGACATGTATGGGGGCACAACATATCTCATGAAAACCTTTCATTTATATTTTGTAACATATATACTTTATTTGCTTATTTCACGTAGGTTCAGGTTTCTTGGTTATTTTCACGTGACACACCTACACACTGCAGCCAACACACATAATATCTTATGACACACAGTTTGGAAAGGTCTGCTGTAGAGGTTGACATAAATGAATTCTCCGTTACATCAAAATCCAACCACATAGAAAGCTTACTCCTTTTTGTTTGTGGTTGGGTTGTACTTAACATTGAAACTTGCACACTGTGGTGTTAAATCTTTTTTGCTCTGAGGTTAAAGCTAGAGTGTGGTCAAGTTACTTTTTGGACCACAGTGCCCAGGGTCCCCAAGCCACTGCCCATTTTGGATGGGAATTTATGGTAATTGCAATTATACAATTTCCTCATTCATCACTTCCGCATATTTGAGCATGAAGGTGTCTTTTAGTAAGGCCATCTCCCCACTTTTGAGAGTCATTCTTAAAATGCTTTGCTAAACCTAAACTCACCAGACTCAATTGACGCAGGATATACCTACCTCCAAGTCTTTGTTTTCTTGTATACAGTTGGAGGGGATAATCAAAATAGTTTGGTGCAAAGTTCAAGATGCATCAGCCCAGTGAAAGCAGAAAAGCAATGAGTACTGTACCATGGGAGTGCTCCTCCCCAGTTCTCAGTGAATGGGAAGGATGCGAGCTGCAGACCCCACAACCGCTGCCCTCCTCCCAAAGCCTGGGATAATAATAATAATAATAATAATAATAATTATTATTATTATTATTATTATTATTATTATATACCCCAGTTTATCTCCCCAAAGGGCACTCATAGCAGCCTCATCCTCAGGAGGTGAAGGTCACAGGGCAGATCGATCTTTGGAAGGTAGACACAGCTCAGACAGTGATCCCTTACCCTCCCACTTCTTGACTATTCACAAGGCAGCCCCAACTTCAGTCTAAGCTCATAAATACACAAAACCAGGAATGTAAAACCCATGAAATTTAAGGACTAACTGTAGCATGTTTTCTGTAGCTCCTTATCTGGTTGATGTGTAGAACTTCTGTCGTACCACGAAGTGTTCCACTTTCTTCACTACATAATAAGTTATTTTTTTTCCTGCCTTTTAGTTGGCTTGTCAACCATTGGAGGGACTCACTTTGTGTTGTTTGTGTGCTTGATGCTTTGTTGTTCCTTTTTTTGCCTGCTGATTTATTGTTTTTATTACTTGCGAAGAGACCCAAGCGAGATACACATTTCTTAAACAAGTAATTTCTTCCTTTATTCTGAATAATTTTAAATTTTATTTTGAGATCTTTTAATTGCAGTTCGAAGTGTAAGTCAATACAAATCTACACAGAGGTAATTCCAGTAGGGTTTTTCCATGCAAGAGGATATAGGATAACAGCCTAAGTGCATTACAAACAAAACATATTAGGTTTGACCTTAAATTAGTTTCACTTAAATAAAATTGAAATCAACTTGAAAAAATACCTGTTAGTTACATCCATTCATGTCAATAGTTATCCAAAGTTTAAATCCAGTTGTTGTTCCTAATCAGACTACACATGATGAATCAACTTTCTATAAGTCAACACCTAAGTAAATCCTATTGATTCAATAGCTGTGCCATAGTCCAGACTAACAAATAGATTTAAGTCCAAGTGCAACCAATTTTCAGCACAGTCCTATACCTGTCTGCACAGAAATAAGTGCTGTTTTTTTTCTCACTGGGACTTACTCCCAAGTAAGGATTGTGGCACTGGCTTGATCTGATTTAGTGGTGTTTTTTGCTAGAAAAAAAAATGTAGTGTCACATGGGAAACTCAGGAAATTATCAAGAGAGAATGTTAAAAATCCTGGGAAGAGCATAGTTCAAATAACAAAAATTAAATTTGAGGTAAATTTTGAGACTGGAAAACTGTTTCATAATATAAATTGTTACTTGCCTCCCCAGTTGAACTTATGTTTAGTAGTTGGTGTTTAGAAAGCTATTACCTGGATGGAATCAGATTTAATGCTTTTAGGTCTTAAATTTTTTGCTTTTATTGGTGTCAATGGCACTGGCTCTGCTTGCTAGGAGATTCTAGGAAGTAAGTTCTCAGTGGACTTTCATCTTTCTGCAACTCCTTATCACTCAATTTGATGTCCATTATTGTTGTGTGCCTTCAAGTCATTCCCAATTTAGGATGAGGATGATGATGATGATGATGATGATGATGATGATGATGATTCACACCATGGAGCCTAAAAAAAGACTCAAAGTGTCTTGCAGTAAAACTGATACAATACAATTTAAAACCCAAAAACATACAAACAGGATGATCTTATCCTGGGTTTTTTGGCAAGATTTGTTCAGAGATGGTTTGCCTTTGCCTGCCTCTTTGGCTGAGAGGCTGTGACCTGCCTAAGGTTTCCAATTGGACCTAGTCCAATACCAACCACTAGTCTATGCTGTTTCCGTTACCAAAATAAATGCATGTAGTGTAAATGTCCATATGCCAACTTGTGTCACTTATACCAGTTAGAGAATTCATGTTTTCTCCTTGACACTGAGTTGTCTTAGGATTTGTGTAATTTTTATTTTTTTTGTGACTTGTCTTAGGATTTGTGTAATTTTTAATTTTTTTGTGACTTTGCATGGAGTGCCAGGTTCATAAAGTGTGACTGCATCGTGTGAGGTCCTGTTGAAGTTTTAAGATTGTTGTGGTCACAGAAATCTCAAGTAACAGGTTAAAGGGGAAGTAGTCCCAGAAACCAGCTCCTTGGGATATTCTGGTGGTTAGGAGGTGAGGAGGCCTTTGTTTTCCATATTCTAATCTTGATTAGTTCATTCACCTTTGCTCCAGTTGTGAGGTTCTTTTGTGGGAGAGCTACTTGCTCATTGCTCATCTTATTCTAAACAGAGTGTGGGAAGTTACTGCTTTGAACTGTAACATCCAAAATCCCCCGGCCAACATAGCCATGGTCTCGTATAAAAATTTCCCAACTTGTGGTCAGTGAGGTAACATTTCAGAGAAAGCCAAAACTAAGAGATGCTTTAATATATGCCTGCATCAAAAGCCTGTGGCTTTATA